TTATATTATATTATATTATATTATATTATATTATATTATATTATATTTTACTGTTTTGAATTAAAGAACCTGTTGATTGGGGAGAATAATCCTTTTTCCAACTTCACAGTAACATGTTATACTTTCTAAGTGTGTGCACACGTCTTAGGCACTCAAAATACTTGGTATAAGTAAAAATAATCTTGGTGTTTTTTATAGAAAACTTTGACAGCGCAGGAGGGGTGGGGGAGTCCATTCAAAAGCAAGGGAAAGTAAGGGAAAGTGAATGCCTAAACAGCTACGAGAGGGAAGTTTCTTGAGCTCTACTCATCTCTCTCTATGCTGTTTAATTCTGGTGTTACTTAAATTGAAGCACTCTTGTCCATTTCATAGATCTTCATTGCCCTTGGTATTTCAGAGGCAGAGTATTATGACTTTTTTTCTGTTAATACAGTCATTTTAGTATTTAACATGTCTGTGCATTATAAAGTGAGGGTTGCATCATACATATAGCTACACTCAAGAGAGAAGACTAAAGTCTAGAGAAATCTTTGGCTTTGGCTGAGATTTCCTAACTTTATTTCTATTTATTTCTATTAATGATTTCTGGCACAGTCTCATGAATAAAACAAGGCACTGGATGTTTTTCTTGGCTTTTCTTAAAAAAATATAAAGGTAAGCTAATAAGGAAATATTTAACATGCCTAGTCAGTCCAGTTTCTGAAAGTAGAAGACACAAGTTATAGGGCATGAGGCAGCGTTTCCTACCCCTCAGGCGGCATGTCTCAGTACTGTAATGGTACCAAAGATGTCTGCTGTATTTCTGCATCTACAAAAGGATTTTCCAGATGCTGTAAGTAGTCCTTGATATCAGTGTTCCTTAAGAAAGTCTAACTATAACTTAACTATTTATATTTTCGTTTATATTACCTCAGTCTATGATAAAAACAAAAGTTAGTAATAGGTAATACTTCTTTTTGACGATCTGGCTCAGTTTACCTTATTGATAAGAAAGGTAATTGTTCAAACTACTTTTCCTTTAAAAATGCCTTTTTGGAATTTTAGTTTAATAATTTACTTAAAACAAAAAATGACCGACTGAGATTTTGCTTTTTTCCCTTAATACTAGAAATGCTATTTTAAAAAGAATGCAATTTTGAACAAATAGAATTACCTTGAAGTGGTGAACATTTTATGGAATGTCTTGTAATACAAGAATAACAAAATGGATTGCTTTTAAAATTTAATAATTTTGCAAGAATAAAAATATGTCCAAGTTATGGCTAAGAATTTCCTTTTATTATTAAAATATAAAGTACTCCTATTGTAGTAGATCTTCTAATAAAATATATTCCATCCTTGTTTCTTATTACTTACTGCTAGGATGAATGATTGTATGCTATTTAGTCTTTCAGTTTTCAGTATTTTCTGTGGAAGGGTCAAATCAGCAATTTTCACAATATAAATGGTGAATCTTGACATTATTTTTCAAAAGTAGGAAATTTTAAGCTACAGGTTTCTCTGTAGCTTGTGCACCAAATACTGCTACCTTAATGCATAGAAAATCTAGGCTAACTTTCTCTGTGTTACCAGCTTTTATAGAGGAACAAGCCAAACTACTCTACCTTTTGCTTGAAATGGGGCCTGCCCAGTAGGACAAGAGTAGACCTGATTCTAATCTTTGGAGCATTGTATTTGTCTCTCTAGAGCTTTAGAGAAAGAAAGGAAGGAGCAGTCTCTTCCTTTGGTCCCTCTTCCTCCTGCTTTTCTTTTTATCCCTTTTTTTCCACTTCAGAGGCTGGTATAAAAAACAAATATCTTATTATTGACTGTATGCTATTTGATGGACTATTTGCTATTAATTAGTATTTATAACAAAAACATTTTATTAAACATGTTTATTAAAACATGCAAAAATTAATTAAGGAACTGTATTACATTTAAAATGTATCATCTTTGTTTTACCTTTATTATTTGTATTAAAATAACTTATTTTATTTTAATTATATTTCTTAAAACTTTAGCATGTACTGTGTATCATGCAGATTAATAAAGGTGTATGTTTGATATTATCATCTTACCAATCCTCTTTTTTATTATTATTATTTAAAAAAAAATTTTTTAACGTTTATTTTTATTTTTGAGACCGAGAGAGACAGAGTATGAACGGAAGAGGGGCAGAGAGAGAGGGAGACACAGAATCAGAAGCAGGCTCCAGGCTCTGAGCCATCAGCCCAGAGCCTGACGCGGGGCTGGAACTCACGGACCGCGAGATCATGACCTGAGCTGAAGTCGGACGCTTAACCGACTGAGCCACCCAGGCGCCCTCCAATCCTCTTTTTTAAAAATTTTAGATTGGAAACTTTACCTCTTTATCTCAATGAAATGGTTAACCTTATTTCTGTATATCATTTTGGAACTTCACTTAAAAACAAAATATTACTCTAAACTGTTGCTGTAAAAGCATTTGATCTGTTCAACGCTAAGATGCTGTAGTCACTCAGTGGAAGCTCTTTGCTATGCAGCTCTTCTGTCAATTTACATATTTTGCCAGTGGTTAGACAAAAAAAAGATAGCTAGCAGTCCCATTTATATCAAAATTATATTGTGAGGTAATTATAATGTCTGTGGTGAAATAGTGTTTAACTCAGTTTTCTTAGGGGAACAAAATATTTTATTCTACAATTAGATACAAGACCTCAAATTCATATGTTCTGGGGGACAGTAGCAGTTTAATATTTATTTATTTATTTATTTATTTATTTATTTATTTATTTATTTATAAATAATTGGGGAGGGGCAGAGGGAGAGGAAGACAGAGAATCTACAGCAGGTACCATGCCCAGGGTGGAGCTGCACTCAGGGCGTGATCTCATGATGGTGAGATCATGACCTGAGCTGAAATCAAGAGTCCAGTGCTTAACTGACTGAGCCACTCAGGCAGCCCTGATTTTCTTTTTAAGTAATATGGTGATGACACATAAAGATTTTTAGGAAGAAAGTAATGGTTATCCTAGTAAATAGTTGTCCCTGGTTTGGTATTCTACCTTGACACTACCCTGGGTGCATTTGGATACTAATGATCAAATCGAAATAAGTTAAGGGAATTAGTGGCTCAAGTAGGCATTTCTCATTTTTTTTAATGTTTAAAAAATTTTTAATTTATTTTGAGAGAGCACAAGCTGGGGAGAGGCAGAGAGAAGGAGAGACAGAATCCCAAGCAGGCTTTGCGTCATCAGTGTAGAGCCTGTTGCGGGCCTTGAACCCACAAACCACAAGACCATGACCTGAGCCAAGATCAAGAGTTGGACGCTCAACCGACAGTGCCACCCGGGCACCCCTACATTTCTTAGTTTTTTAAGATTGGAGGAGACTGGTCTCTAAGTCTCTATTCTAGCTACCCATTTAAATATTGTCTTCAGATTTAAGGGATATTTCCAAACTCAAATTTGTTCTCTGATTTACTATGTTCCTTATTATAGTATTCTTTATTTTTAAAATGAATATTCTGTCCTCTTTTACTTGAGGGAATGACACCTTACCTATTTAGTGCCTATCATAAGATGGCTAGTGAATAGCATGCTGAAAGGAGATTCTGGAAGAATCTGGATATAAGTGGTCATCACCAGACTACTGGCACTGCGACTGGTTTTATGGAGGTAAAGAAGGAGGAAGGATGCACCAAAAATAGATGCCACCTATCTAAAATTAGCTCCTAGTTCATTAATAGTAGTACAAGTTTATTTCCAATCTGTGTCACTGGACATCTCTGTATAAAGAAGTGTTTTCTATTTTCATAGACATTTTCTTTAATCCCAGCAAATAAACTCTTGAAAGCATGGAGTTGTCAAAGAAGAATCAGCCTAAACCATCTCCACTAAGGAAATGTTTCCAAGTATATAAATTGGTCATAACATCAACTGTGTATACAGATGGCAGCACTTTAAAAAATTTTTAAATATGGTGTAGGTCAGTACTGTTATCTTAATCTGATTATGTATCTTCAACTGATAAGTTGTCTCCAATAGAAATCCATTTTGTAGCCATATAATATTATGGAGTGAGGGGGGAAATCCCTTTGTAAAAATTCTCCACTACTATCTCCATAATCTCTACTTCACTGAGTTTCATCCAAGTGCGAAAATGAAAAATTATAACCTGCCAAGCATCAGTGGCAGAGTGAAATGAAAAAATTGCGAGTTAATAACAGTGATGCCTCAAAAAAATTTCCTGGCCAATTTAACATTGCTTCATCCAAGGTCACTTCCCAGAGCTGATTATTTTTAGTAATTTGCAGATGAGACCATTCTACCTTGGTCATGGTTAGTGAAGATCAAGAAAATGCCAGAGAAGGTTTAAGACTCAAGGTTATCTATCTTTCTCAAATAAGATGCAAACCACAGTTCCACTTTATTTTCTTAAGACCTAGCAGAAAATAATTTTCAAAGAAAAGAAACTTAAAGCCAGTAAGATCTTTTATTGGAGATATAAAGCCACAAAGTGAAACACTAGGGATAAGGGTAGTAGCAGAAAGACTATTTAGTAGATCCTTAGGTAGCATTTCATGTGGGAAAGAAATCCTCAAGATATTTTTCTAAAATTTTTAGTCTGACACTTAAAAAAAAAATAGTAAAACTTGCTGTAGATTGTACTTGGTGTAAACATTGATTATGATGACTATCTACACCTTGTTTTTAAGCTTTTAGAAAATGTCCGGATTTACTTTTTCTTGTCCAATTTGAAATTTGAAATTACATTGTTAATAATCCTTTAAACAGTCTTATTTTTACACATAAATAATTCAGATAATATAGACAAATATAAAAAAAAGCTTTCCTTTAATTTTGCTAATCACAGCTAACTTGTATTGATCTTTTAGTATAACTTTCCATACCTGTGTATCTCTGTGTGTATGTGTATGTATATGTAGGTAAAAAGAGAGACAGATAAGTAGAAAGATAGTTTTTTTTAAATGAGTCTTCATGCAAAGTATATTCATATTTTATCTAACCCCTTGCCATGGATACATACTTTTTTAATTTTATTTTTTAGAGAGAGAGAGAGAATGAGAGAGAGAGAATGAGTGGGGGAGGGGCAGAGGGAGAGGGAGACACAGAATCTGAAGCAGGCTCCAGGCTCTGAGCTGTCAGCACAGACCTGGATGTGGGGCTTGAACCCACGAATCACCAGATCATGTCCTGAGCTAAAGTCTGACACTTAACAGATTGAGACACCCAGGTACCCGCCATGGATATTTTTCTATGTCAATAATTATTGGTTACATTCTCATTTTCAGTGGCTTCAGACTGTGTTTGTAGCATCTGATATTTGTGAACATTTAGGATGGTTTTCCACCATATAAACAGTTCTGAGCTAAACACAAGTCTTTATATATCAGATTATAAAGTAAATTTTAAAACTTTTAAAAATGATGAAGATTTAGACATTTGATACTTACTGCAAAATGCTCTCCAGAAAGATGTAAACATGTATTTCCACTAGCACTGCATTCTTACAACAAGGGTATTCTTTATTTAGGCAGGTGAACTTTGATATTTCAACATTGGATTTGTTCATTAGTCATATATTTTCAAATATTTAGTAGCCATTGCACTGTCTTTTGTGAATTTCTTGTTCATGTCTTGCTTTTTCCCCCTATTAGTATAATCTTCTTTTTCTTATTGCCATTTAATACCAACTCTATATTTTTAAAGGATATTAGTCTTTTGTCTCACCAGTTAAATTTTTTTTTCTATATTGTCAATTCTAATTTCATTTGTATTTCCCCCAATAGTTGTTAATCTTTTCCTTATAGTTTCTGGCCAATGAGCCATGCTTACAAAAGCTTGTCCTACATGAAGTTATATGACTAATTATTTAACATTTTCCTCTGTTACTTTTTTATGTTTAATGTTTAATCTGTAAAGAATTTATTCTGAGGTATGATTTAAGACAAGAGTCTAGCTTATTTTATTTCTAAATGGCTAGGTTAGTGACACTACCACTTGATGACTAGTCCAGCCTTCCTCATTGATTTGGAATGCCTCAGTTATCATGATAGATGTTTTTCAACTGGTCTGAGGAGCTTCAGGCATTCCATGATGTGCTCTCAGGGAATGTCATTTACAATCTGGAAACTAAGTAACTGGTTTTCTCTTCTTAACCTTCTTTAGATCTTCATTGAAATATCTGTGAATTTTTTCTGACTAATTTTTTCCATATTTTAATGCAGTTTCTGCATTTTTTATTGAGGCATAATTGACATATATTAATTTCAGATGTACAATATAATTTCATTTGTAAATATTGCAAAATCACCACAATAAGTCTAGTTAACATCTATTACCATATGTAGTTACAAACGTGAAGTTTCTTCTTAATTTTTGAAAATCAGCTTTATTGAAGTACAATAAGTATACATATTGTATGATATATACATTCAGTAAAGTTGTATACCCCACAAGTACATTCAGGATAGAGAAAGTTTCCATCACCTGAACAAACCTCCATTGTGCCATTGCAGTTGATCCTTTTTCTCTACTGCTAGCCTCTGGCAACTATTGATCTGCTTTCTACCCATAGCTTAGATTTTTCTAAGAGTTCATATTAATTAAACAATACAGCAAGTAGTCTTTTATGTCTGGATTTTTTTCACTCAACATAATACTTCTGTGATTCATCCATGTTGTTTGTGCTCAAGTAGTTTATTCCTTTTTTAATCATGAGTAGTATTCAGTTACATAGATATACCACAATGGGTTTATCCACTTATATATGGATATCTGGGTATCATAGGTATAGCTGATTTTTGGCTATCATGTATGTAGTTACTATGAACAGTCTTATACAGGTCTGTGTATGGACATGTTTTATTTCTCTAGAGTAAATACCTAAGAGTGGGATTACTGGGTTGAATGATAAGTGTGTATGTAATTTTACAAGAAACTTTGTTAAGAAACTGCCAATGATTTTCTTAGGTGCCTGTACCATTTTGCATTTGCACCAGCAATATATGAGAATTGTAATTGTTTTACATGCTTCACAGCACTTAGTAAGATCAGTCTTTTTATTTTGCCTTTCTACTGGGTGAATAGTTGTATCTCACTCATTGTGGTTTTAATTTGCATTTCCTTAATGGCTAATGTTCTTTGCATTTCCATGGAAATTATAGAAGAGTTACTTCTCCAAAAACCCTGCTCAAATTTTAATTTTGATTTTGTTGAATAAATTTGGGGACAGTTGACATTGAACAATATTGAGTCATTCAGTTTATGAACAAGTTTTGTATTTTTGTTAATTTGAATATTTAACTTATTTCAATGAAGTTTTACAAGTTAGACAAAATAAAAAAAATCATCCCTAGGTATTTCATAATTTGATGTTATGTTATTTGAACATATTAAAATTAAAATTTCTACTTTTATATTAAAAATTTTTATTAAAATTAAATTGTTAAAATTTAAATTTCTAATATTTATATCTAGTATATTTTGTACAGTTGGTTTCTGTACATTTGAGTTTATTCTGTGTATTTGGTAAGTCATATTTTAGTTATAATAGCTTTGCATATATTTCCTCAGAATTTTCTGCATGAACAATTTTTTTCTGAAAAAAGTTTTTCTTCTTTTTTTTCAAATTGTATGCCTGTATTTCTTCTTTTTGCTTTATTTTACTAGCCTAGATATTCAGTACAATATGATATATATATAGTAAATGCCAACATTCCTTTTTGTTCTTGATCTTAAAGGGAAAACATTTAGTGTTTTTAGTATTTCACCATATAAGAATGATGTTAACTGTGGGATTTTCAGAGATGCCGTATTAGTCTGCTTGGGTTGCCATAATAAAATACCACAGGCTGGGTGGCTTAAACAGCAGAAATGTATTTTGTCGTAGTTCTGGAGGACAGGAGTCCAAAATCAGAGTATTGTTAGAGTTGGTTTCTGGTGAGGGCTCTCTTCCTGGCTTGTGGATGGCTGCTTTCTTGCTGTGTCCTCACTTGGTCTCTTGTCTGTCCAAAAGGAGAGACAGAGGCAGAGGCAGAGTGTGAGAGATGGGAAGGACAGATTGGGAGAGAGAGACAGAGAGAGAAATTTGTAACTAGTCCTATTGAATTAGGGCTCCACTCATGACTTTATTTAAACTTAATTTCATTAAAGGTCCTGTTTCTGAATACAATCATATTGCGGGTCAGAGCTTTAACAAATGAATTTGGGGTGAACACAATTCAGACTGTAACACATATCCTGTTTCAGATTAAAAGGTTCCCTTCTGTTTATAATTAGCTTAACATATCATGAATAGATGCCGAATTTTGTGAAATACTTTTTGGCATCTATTGAGATGATCATATGTTTTTTTCCTTTTTAAAAAATATTTTAGTATGGGAAATCACATTATTTTTGGAACGTTAAACCCATCTTGCATCTACTTGGTCACATTTCATATGCCTTTTATATGCCTTTCATGTATTATTTTTTAAGCGCAATATATGTTTATTATATGCATTTAATCTATATATTATATATTTTAAATATCAGAGAACTAAATTTGCTAAAAGTTTGGTAGGAATTTATTTTCATGTGTGTGATCATAAAAGACATTGATCTGTAGTTTCTTACAGTTTTGTTTGGTTTTGGATCAGGCTAATGTTGGCTTTATCATGTGAGTTGGGAGATGTTCCCTCCTCTTCCACTTCATGGAGTAGCTTATGTAGAGTTGATACTATTTTTTACTTAAATATTCGGTAGAATTCCCAGTGATGCTATCTTGGCCTGAAATTTTCTTTTGGAAAGGTTTTTAAACTTGAGTTTAATTCTTTTCTTTGATAAGGGCTATTTGGGTAATCTATTTCATGCTGAGTCATATCTTCCAAGGAATTTTTTTTCACCAAGTTATAAAATTGTCCATAATATTATTTTCTAATGGTTTTGTCTGTAATCTGAGTAATGTCCTCTCTTTCATTCCTGATATTGGTAATTTGTTGTCATTTCTCTTTTTCCTTGATTAATCTGTTTGGAATTTTATCAATTTTATTGATTCTTTCAAATAAATACTTTTTGGTTTCACTGATTTTCCTGTATTATTTGTCTGTCTTCTATTTCATAGATATCTGCTTTTACCTTTATTATTTTCTTCCTTCTGTCTATTTTGTGCTT